ACTCTTAAAACAGATGCAGCGGTGATTCTGTAGAGGTGGTAAAGCCTCAGGTTTGGGCTCCAAGGATTTAGTAAACTGACACATTATTGGCTCAGTATTTCATCAGCATAGTTGTTGACTTTTAAATAAATGTTTAATAGGGATGTCTGATAACATCGGCCGAACGATATTATCGGCCTGATATTAGCATAATTATGTAATATCTGTAAGAATCCTTATTGGATTTTCCTCCGCTACTGAAAACGATAGCGCGATGCCTGGGTTTCGCTGAATGACGTGGCTGAAAGTGAAAGTCACTAAATGGCAGCATTGCTGCTTATTTTATTAATCTATTTTTTATAATCAGGGAATTGTTTGCAGAATGCTGGTGCCAGCAACTCATACAGTGGTTTGTACAGATAAATAAATAAATATTACCAGGCGCTCAATAGTATTTCAATTCAATGATGGGGATTGATGTTTGAACGAGTGAATCAACAATAACACTCACATTGTAAATGATACGATAACGTTGTAGAGCGTTCCACTCTTAACGGATAGATTCTCAGAGCCTTTCTCTTTAATTCATGTTTGAAAACCTGTGACGATCCCTCAGTGGAAGGTGTCGTGTCAAGGTCACCGCCTGGACAACGGGATGATGACATAATGAAGTGTCTGAAACAAATGTATTGTACTAGCCTGGTCCGTCCTTCACCCTCTTCTGTCCCTCCGTCCTTGTACCAGACCCTCATCCTATTCACAGCTCAGAACGGTGTTGTCAGGCTGCTCACTTGTCTCCAGGCAACAGTGTTGCCCCGAAGTCCGTGAGAGAAAAGCCCCGGCAGAAAGGAAACTGCACACTCTGCAAACTGACCTTTTTAAGAACAGCGTGGGTCACACTCTGAAACGGCCTTTTCAGTGATTCAAGTCTGCACACGGAGAAAGCATTTTATTTCCCTTTACCTTTAATTAACTCCTCATTGATTGTTTAATTACCCATAATGCACATCAATCACCTAGGGCTCCAGGGTTTTGTTTATTTTTTTTTTTTAGTTAAGTTTCGAGAGTTCCCCAGAGACTGAAGTGGCTGCTCTGAACTCTGGGTGTGTGAAAACAGTGACAGACGGAGACTCTGGAGGTTCGATTCCCAGAGCTGCTGAAGGCTGAAGTGTTTGTGTGGACACTCTCACTGTTAGAGCCACTTAGCTCTGTTACAGACACACTTCTCATTGTTAGTTTTGAGGATCTGTCAACCAAGTCCAGGATCGAGTGTGAATTCTTACTAACAATTGGACAAAGTGTCGCCACTAAACTAACAGCACAATGAATGTTTGGTATCTGGACTCTGGCTGCCAGAGGAAGTCAAAGGGACTTCCTCCTCCAAACATGATCCCACTTTGATGGGACCAAAAACTCAAAGCAGCCCATAGGCTGTGTGTAAAACCTGGACTAGGATATCAGCAGCTCCTGGTGACTCCAGTACTCAGCTTATAATCAGTATATATTTTATTAATCACGCCTAATTGCCTATTAAGTAGGGATGTCGGAAATTAACTTTTTGTGGATATTCTCCAAACACTTCATTTCAGAATCAATTCACCGATACCGATGTAGCGGTGGCCGAATGGCAGCCATTTTTCCTCAAAACTAGTGTTAGGTCACACCCGAATGGCAGCCATGTTTCCTCAAAACTAGTGTTAGGTCACACGTCCTAACACGTCATCTGGGCCAAACCCAGGCATTGCGTTATCGGAGGAAAACTCGAAAATGATTTTTACAGATATTACAAAATTATGCAAATATCGGGCCAGTAATACCGGTCAGCCGATATTATTGGACATCTATGAAGGGTTTTCTACCAATAAACAAATGAAACTGACCACATTTGGTTCCAGTGAAATGTTGTCATAAAATATTTATCATTATTTAATTGTAAAACGCCCTCCGTCTGAAGGCCCTGTTTTATGTATACATTAGAAAATCCACTGAGTCAAAATGTTGTCGGACTATAAAATAAAAGGGATTTGCATTACTTTACTATAAAACACTATACTATAAGTACTGTAAGAGTGTAGTATCTGTCAATATGTCTGCCACTTCTGTAAGCTGCCGGTTCAATACCTGCATTGATGCTAAAAATAAAAGTCCACTGCAGTTGACAGTACAGTACATAACCAATTATTGATATACATTATCTCTGCTGGTCGCCATAGCAACCTCACGTTTGAAGCCAGACCAGAGTATGTGTGAGCAGTGTACTCGGCCGTGTATCGTTGAATTAGATCAGTACCCCAGACAGGAACTAATGAATGTTGTCCTGTGACGGTCTCACACCCAGCGTCTGTTAAAGACTCTTCTGAGATTTTTGGACATTAGCAGCATTAGCCGAGTTCAGGCGGTCCGTGGGTGAGACCCTGTCCCTGCAGGGTCTGAGTCTAACTGGGTCATTTGGAACAGCCACACTCCAACAGATTACAGCCAATTAATCCCTGTCCCACTGCTTTGGACCCGTCCATTTAAATGGTCCGTTCTGCTCCGTTTGAGAAGTATTTCTTCTGACAGTTGAAGGAACACAACCCCCGTGCCCCCCAACTCCCCTTGTGGTTTTCTCACACACAGGGGTTTGTTTTCCGTTTAAAGAATTGCTGAGAAAATGTTTGGAATAAAAATGGATTTAAAATGAAAATGAACGATAAAGCAAAGGTTGACATTGGTGGTACGCTACAGCAAATTTATTCTTGGACAGTGAAATAATCTGCCAAATATACAGTGTTGTGCAACACACATATATACACCCATAACTGGTATATACACGTACATGTGCATATACATATATATTGTATATATATATACACACACATATATACACATATGTATATACATATATAAATCCCTACACATATATACATCAACATACTTATTTGCAAAAGATACAGACGTTGTGAACTACAGTAGCCCAGCAGGACATTTTTCACTCAGACCATGAGACACTGGTCAGTAAACGTTTCACAGGTACAGTTTCCAAATAAACAACAGATTTTTCTGACCCGTCTCCAGAAGTACTGACGTCTCTACTGTTAAGAACCTGTGTTTCTCCTACACTGCCATCACACTGAACCCTCAGAGTGGTTTCATCTGAATGACAGCTACAGCCCTCCATGACAGTCTGATAGTGGACTTAGTGGTCAGACAGACAGACAGACAGACAGTGACATCTGTCCAGAGGGTGAGCAGGACTCAGGGCTCACAGCTGCAGAGCAGTGACTGAGGTGTGGCTCAGTCTGAGGCTCCACTCAGGTCTGACACTTTACATCCTCCTCCTCTGGACCAGCACTGATTTCAATCCTGACGGACGGCAGCGCACAGAGACTTAAGTGCAGCCACTGTCAGTCAGCTCCTCTACAATACCCATCATGCATCTGTAGCTACATGACATCCGTTTTACTGTATATGACTGAGATGGGTTAGATTCAAGATTCAGAAGTTTGTCATGTGACGGAGTGACTCCACAGAAACAACCAACATATTCTACGCGGAAGAATATAAACACATGGAAGGATAAAAATGATAGAGAGACGATGACCGAGTCTGGGTCAGAGCTGGTAGAGATGGACCACAACTGGACCTTATGATTCTGTCGGGTGATTAAATGAAATATTGTGATGTATCAATATTTCTGTACACTCCTAGTCTTTGCTGAGGTCAAAGATGACATTATTTAGGGTGAAGTTAAAAAAAAAAACATTTCAAAAACATTTCAAATCAGTAAGCAGCTGTTATCATGTTTAACTGGATGGAATGACATCAGTGCATGTTGTCTCTGCTCCTGACAACGCTTTCCTGCACAAACATTTTTTGCTGACTCTGAGTCAGTCATGAATAATTGATGCGATGATGCCATGTGGAAATTGGCGTGTGTGTGTGTGTGTTTGTGCTGAAACGGCCTTTTAGAATCATGAAGAAAAAAAAAAGTTAAATAAAAAATAAGATTAAGAGCAAGTATTTCCTGACTGAGTCGTTGAGCAGCTGTAATGTTCCTCTGGTGAAGAGACAGTGTGTCACAGGCCTAATTGAAATCGGAGTTCGTCCCATATATCCACCTAGTTGGATTAAAAGGATAATCATGTTATGGTATTTGCAGAGGCTCTGCCTTAATGGCATCGTTGCCTTAATTACATTAAAGCTTGGATGGATGGAAACGTTTTAAAGGCTCAGTTCGTCTCATCCTGTTGGTGTACATAAAGCAGCAGCTCGGAGTTCACTTCTGTTTTCTTGATTGGTTTGGACAGTGAACGGAAGAAGCAATAAAAACCTCATTCACTTCAATGTTGTTACTGAAACGACCAGGACAGGGCGCTGCTTGTTGTCTGAACAGCAGCCTGACGATACGAACTCACACTGAATTATTACGTACAAACTTTAATATGTTTTTGGCGAGCTCGTGGCATTTCGCATGGAGAAAAGCTCCACCAGAAACCGTGGGGGCGCTGTTGTGTAGTACAGCAAAAGGACGACAATGACAAAAACAACAACAACAACAACAACAGAAATAGTGGAAGTACTGACAAGTACTGAAATGAACTCTAAACTAAACACTGCCCCCTAGTGGTTGCATTGCTTAACAACTATGCCAAACAGAAGGCATGTATTGGAAAAGGATTCTTAAACATAGGGCCATGGCCCAAACTTGAGCCGCCAGCTCCATCTAGAGGGCCGCAAGAAGTGTACTAGGTTTGAGCCATAGCATTTTTGCTATTATGACAAATGTACAAATTAAATATTACGACCCTGGTGGTAAAGCATCGATCACCGTCGTCAACTGCTCTGATTCAAACGAGAGTTGCCGTGCGAGTTGTCTAGAAAAATGGTACTAAATTAAGGCATGAAACCTAAATGAGTCTAAACTTTTAGGAAACAGATTTAGTTTGTTCTGTTGTGAGTCAGAACCATCAGAAGTCACTGGAGTCACATTTAGTTTGTTTCTCATCCAGTTCCTTAATTCTCTCTTCATTTCCCTGCAGGTTGGAGTGGGTGGAGATCATCGAACCGCGCACACGAGAGCGCATGTACGCCAACCTGCTGACGGGCGAATGTGTGTGGGACCCTCCGCAGGGAGTTCGTATAAAGCGAACAGTAGAGAACCAGTGGTGGGAGCTGTTCGACCCCAACACCTCCCGCTTCTACTATTATAATGCCTCCACCCAGCGCACGGTGTGGCACCGGCCTCAAGGCTGTGACATCATCCCCCTGGCTAAGCTTCAGACGCTGAAGCAACAGACTGATGGCACCATCCCTCGACCTGCAGGAGGAGGAGGGGGAGGAAAAACATCAGCTGATAACAGCCCAGGGAGGAACAGTGGGGTCAGCAGAGAGGGCAGCACCTCCTCCTCCCTGGACCAGGAGCTGTCAGAGAAACAGAGCAACAGAGAGGAGGCCGGCAGGTGAGGCTGGGGAGTCACTGACGTTATTATCCAGAGGAACAAGCTTTTGTTATTATTATTGTTATTATTAAGGGGTGTGTGTTGCCAAGAATCTGCTGACACGATAACGGGGCAACGATACAATATACTGCGATACAATAGGCACGACGATATATTGATTTATTTTAACCATTCAATTGTAGATTAGGTTAATTAACTCGTAAAACCAACTCTGAAATATTTGTAATGAAATGTTGTAAACATTCACCGCACACTCATCACCAACATCAGCTACTGTATTGGTTAAAAATAAAATCAATGTCCTTTTACATCCAACCCTGATTCACAGCCCCTTCTCCCTCCCCCCTTAAAACAACACAAGGCTTCCAACATCACAAGCAGAACCTGTCACTCTCTCTCTCACACTCTCTGTCTCTCTCTCGTCACACATGGTTTGTCTCTCCCCTCAAACTCACCATCCTCACCCCCTCTATTTCCCCCTCCTCCACTCTGTCTAACTAGTCTTGGTTTGCTGCTCCCCTGTAATCTACTGCGGTCTGCAGTGATTGGTTGATGGCCGACTCGGGGTCACAGTGTCCTGTAAATGTCTTCACTGCTTCAGTGAGAGGACAAACGCACATAAACCAGAATATGGCAGTGGAGGTTGGTCCAGGTGGAGTCGGGGACACGGCCTAATACTGTGTTTCAAACAACTTGTTTGGATCTGGTGTTTTTCTAACTGGTTATTTCCTACTTTGATGTTTATTTATTTCTGTTGAATGAACTATAAAAAGAACACTTCAGTAGAGAGTTTTTCTTTTATGGCTTTTTATGTCTGTGACAGCTGTCACTGAAGGACAGTGTTTGGAACAGACTTTCACATCTTAAAATCAGGTCACTAACCTTGGAACAGAGGGCTGGAACAGAATACTGAACTGATCACAGTTTGGTCGCATTTCACATCTACTGTAGTCAGTAACAGTGGACTGTTCAGTCTGTCAGGCCAGAATAACTACATCAGAGGATAATGACTACGACGATATGATACGTGTCACGATACAATATATTGCGATACTAGGACACGGCGATATATTGACTCTTTTTTTTTTCTTTTTAACTTTGACACAATGCTGTTCCATCTTAACATCAGGTCACTAACCTTGGAACAGAGGGATCTACATTTGGAATGACTAGAGAAGAAAGAAATGAAAAATAAAATGAACCAACAGCACAGGAATATCTGACTGGAAATTGGTGATAAAAAAATCAATACACTGATGGAGAATAACGATATGGTATCGTGAAATGAAATATCGGGATGTATCAGCGTATCTATATTTTCCACCAGCATTTCTACAGAAGCTGACTATTAATGCCTCTGTGCCTGTGTGGTTCATTAACTCCAGTTCTGTGTGTGCTGTTTGTGAGCACATTTAACAAGATCAAGAAATATAACGCTGAACCTCAAGAGACCTCTGGTGTAATTTTCTAAAATATTTAACCTCGGCATCGTTGGCTATAAATGCCTTTGTAACTGCACCGCATTATAGCAATCTGGAACACCTTTGTGTTCCTTCATCTGCAGCTCTTGGTTAGAACAGGCAGAGCGTCTGCAGAGGCTGAGGAGAAACAGGGCAGGTCATTTGTTAGGGTTCACACAGCTTCCTGTATGACAGATGGGAGTTATTGACCTGCATACAGCTCTACACACACACACACACACACACACGAGTGTGCGTGTACACACTGGATCCCATTAAAGGGGGTGTTGTAGGGACAAATGAAGGAACGACAAAGGTGGAGAGGATGGAGGGACAGGGGTGAGGATGAAGAGGAGGGAGAATTAACGGCAGTGAAGGTGTCGTCACACACAGATGATTCATCATCAGCAGTTAGTGCAGAAAATGTCCTGCAGTTATTTCACACAGCACTCACTCTGTGTGTGTGCAGCGGTTTAAAAGTGTCTGCTTTAACACCCTTCATGTCTAAGTAAGTGTCAGTCACTAATCACTGCAACACACACACACACACACAGACAGACACAGCACAGCCAAGGTCACCTGATCCTGTACCAATGATTGACTTCCCACATGCGATCTGAGATGTGAACCAGTTCAATCTCACTGAATCTGGGTCGTCATAGAGACGGACACAGCCAGGCGTAAACAAAGGTCACGTTCTTCACACAGGAGGACCAACCAGCTCCTCAGGCCAACATCGTAGACTGTACACAAGAAGTGGGCGGGGCTACCTTAATATTGGAATCCAAAATTAAGTGTAGGGACAATATCGGCAAAAAGTGAATATCGGACATCCCTAGTTAAATTCCACTTTGTGATTACAGAAAAATAGATTTTTTTAGAGATCCAGACAAGATCCTGAATCTGTAGTTTTTAGATTCAATAAATACATAATAAACCACTTGACTTCACCCTGGAGTTCCAGCGTCTCTGCTGTGACTCCTTATGTCAAAGGGAATTATTTATGGTGAACAAAGTCTTATCAGAAACTGGGCCCTGAGAAGACTTTCAGAAGAGCTTTTGATCCTGAACGCACCCTCACTGTGTGTGTGTGTGTGTGTGTGTGTGTGTGTACACAGCTGCAGACTGTCAGTCCAGATGGCTGGTAGATCTGCTGTCACCCGTTTCTGTGTGAAGTGTCTCCCGACTCTCTCATTCTTCTGCTTCTTCACTCACACGTCCACAAGCTTCAGTTTATTCACTCTGCCATGTGGTGTGAACTGTGTGTGATCTGACAGTCAGTTCAGACGACGGGGAGTTTAAGATGAACGGCCTGTGTGTTTAGAACCATGTTTCAAGTTGTTTTTAAACAAAATTTCTTAAAACTATAAACCACAAATCAGTGCCACAGCCGTTAGCCTACAAGTTGCTAAGATTTAGCAAAAACATTGCAAAAATATTTTAGTCAAACAAAAACAAAAAAACAACTAAAAATCCAACCAAACTCAAACAGACCAATAGTTTAAAGATAAAAAAGATGGATTACCAAATCGACTGTCAGTGGTTATAAGTTAAATATCAAAAAAGATGGATTACCAAAACGACTGTCAGTGGTTATAAGTTAAATATTCATAGGAATGAGGCTTTTATATATTTTACTGTGAAAAAGTTTGAAAACTGAAAAACATTATGTGGTACTTAAGTTTGAGTTAGTGGAGACCACTGTCCACTGTCAGAAGTCTCAAAAAAAAAAATCAATGTACATTTTACTTTTAATGCAATGGTTTTAATGAGGTATTTCCCAGGAGTACCTGTTGACTCAGTACTGCAGTTTTATCCCAAATATTTGGAATTCAAAATTCAAAAACTGAACTGCTCACACTCGGCACAGACCTAAAGTGTCCCCATAGACTCAGTGATGTCATCAAACTTGACCGATGACATCATCAAGGTGTTCCAACACTTGATTATAACCCGGAAATACTTCTGTGTGTACGCACAGGTATGTGAGGTACACACAGGTACAAATCAAGTTTGTGGTTGGAGTAAAAATTCACAGGGAAGAGGAGGAGGAGGCTGGTGCTGAGGGGACGGAGACAGATGGAGACGGATGGGAGGAGGCAGGCAGTGTGTGGATTGATTTGAAGGTCAAATAATCATGAATAATGTAAGAATAACTGGAGAAAGACAGAGAGAGAAAAGATCGGTGCAGAGAAAATGAGAAACTGATCGACACTCTCTGAAGGGAGGAGAACAAGAGGAGGACGGAGGACGGAGGAAGGAGGGAAGACGGAATGTGAAGAGCAGCCCGCCGAGGCTGTGATGGTGGATCCTTCCCCTCTTTGTTTCTCACACACACACGCATATGAATACCCTCTGGTACACAAACACTTCCAGTGCCACCTTTGAACGGTTGCCCTGGGGAGGGCAGGAAAGGGAACCGTTTGAAAATGGAGGCTGGTCATAGCTGCAATCGATTTTCACACTTCCCTCCCTCTGGAGGAATTCTCCACTTGTTTACCCTCCCTCTGCCCTCCCTCCCCCCTCCTTCTTGTGTTCCTCTGACAAACAGGCAGTTTGTGAGGCTCCACTCACTGAGGTGCGGTGCAGTGAAGGTCCGTCGCTGCCAACGGCTGCTGTTGTTTGGTCATTAGTTAGCTCGTTAGCTGTGGCAGCATCCCTGCATCAGTGAATGGAACTGAGAGCGAGAAGAGCCGAGGCAGCGGAACAGCCACTCTTTAAAGTTGGGAAGACTTGGTCAAATACAGTAGCTGCAGTTTATTTAAGATGTTTTTTTTAATGCTCAGTGTGGAATTATACTGCAGTGAGTTGGCAAGAATTTGACAATAACGTGTCACGATACATAGGCAACAATACGATATACTGCGATTTACTGCAATAACTGTAACTGTAGTCAGTGTCATCACAGTAAAGACTCAATGCTGTTCCATCTTAACAGGTCACTAACACTGGAACAGAGGGATCTACATTTGGAATCAAAAGTAATAAAAGAAAAAGAAAATGAACAACACCAGGAATATTTGACTGGGAATTGGAAATAAAATATCATTACACTGACGGACAATATTGATATGGTATTATGAAATGAAATATCGCAAGATTTCAGTGTATCTATAGTTTCTTACAGCCTTACCAGTTCAATAATAAACCGTTTTATACGGTGTTTATAGCGTGACATCACAGAGTGCAGCAGCAGCAGCACTGACACAGATAGATGAAGTGAAGGGGCCACATATTAAATTATGGCAGCAGACTGAATTTTTAATCATCTTCTGCTCTTTAATTAATAAATGAATCTTATAATTGAAGTGACTCTAAGGGAGTGTCTGCCAGTTCTCTACACTCTGTGACCTGCAGCAAACAGAATTCTCCACACTGTCGTCAAAAGAATAAAAGGACGCTGCAGACGTTTAACTCAGGTTCAGTGAGGCTGTGACTGTGGAAATGACTGGAGTTGGCGTTCATTCACGTTTGAATTGGTTGGTTGATGATTAAATCCATGCTGTGACTGATGATGACGACGGCGCTACTGCTCAAAACTGTTATTTCCTGCTTCAGTTTTTGTGATTTTCCCACGACGTCACAAGTAAAAAAAACTTTGTCAAAATGATGCATTAGAAACAATGTTACTCACAACTCTGGGCCCTGGGTTCCACCCCAGTTTCTAGAACCATTTCTTTTTCAACACTGTTTGAATAAGGCTGGTCCTGACTGTAAGTCAATGCTGGTTAACTGTTCTACACCTAGAACCAGTCAAAGGTTCTGATATGGGGAGGGTTTTAAACACATCTGGTCAACTGCTGCTGCTGGGAACCATCAAATAGATGTAGTCGTTTGAAGTAAATTATACCACGAAATAAAGTACATTACATTGTCATTTAGGTGTTCTGACAGAGAAGATAATAATAAAGTACATTATGTCATTTAGGTGTTCTGACAGAGAAGAAGAATGATCTTTAACGAACTCTTCTGCTCTGTTCTCAGAACTTCTCCCTTCAGGTGGAACACAGGAACCAAGGAGCGAATGCTGATCAAAGTGACAGACAGAGAACCCAGCTTCCTGGCCCATCAGGGAAATGGCTACTCCCCCTGTGACCCTCCCAACCCCGCCGTCCCCTCCGGAGGGGGCACCACCTCACGAACCAGACGATCCTCTGGAGGAAACCCGACCTCAGAACCCGACGGTTCCCCGGTTATTTACGCCGACCGCCGTCAGTCTCCCTTCCTGAAGCGGGCGGAGCTTGGCGGGACCGCTACCCACCGTCGCTCCTCGGCTGACTCCCAGCCTCCTTCGCCTCGCTACGCTTATGAACCCCCGCTCTATGAGGAGCCACCGTCGGAGTTTCAGCCGCCCCCCATCTACGAGGAGCCTCCCACCGACATGCAGCTCACCGACTCCTCCTCTTTCTACGGCACTGGCAAGTCTCCGGGTCGGAAGACCTCGGCCCCCATCTATCATTCTCCCAAACAGGGTCAGTCGCCCTACGGCCAGCTGGTTCTGACCAGGCAGAAGTGTTCGGAGAAGACCCAGAACCTGGAGTACAGTCCTGTGGGGAAGGAGTATGTCAAACAGCTGGTGTACGTGGAGCAGTCGTCTTCGAGCCCCCGCTTCAAAACCGCTGACCGTCTGCTCCGTTACGGTACCACAGGGGGCTACAGCGGCTCCTACGGGGGGTCCTACACTCTGCAACACAGTCAGTCTCTCATCAGGGACCCCCGACTACTATTGGACTACAGTGGGGAGGGAGGAGAGGCAGGCCAGAGGTTGATTTATGAGGACTCCATATCCTGGTCGTCCAATCAGACCCACACCCTCTCCTCCTCCTCCACAGGAGGTCCTGGGGCTTTCTCACCGGGGGGCAACCGCAAACGAAAGAGTCGAAAACCCTCCCTCCCTCAGGAGTTGGCGTTCTGTGGCGGTCCAGAGGGGGAGCTAACAGGTACAGCGTCAGAGGCAATGCTGGCCCAGGCCAGACTGGCGTGGGAGGCCCAGCAGGTGATGAAACAGAGGAGCAGTTGGGATTCGGGTCAGGGAGGCGGAGCGGGCCAGAGCGGCAGCTCCAAGGACGGCTACGAGAGCGACGGGGCGATGCCCCTGCCACTGCCCGGGCCGGTGGTGAGGGCGTTCAGTGAGGATGAGGCGTTGGCCCAGAGCGACGGCCACCACTGGAAACGTCACACGTTTGATCGCCTGGGTTTCCCTCAGGCCCTGCTGGAGAAGAGTCTCTCCGTCCAGACCAACCTGGCTTCACCGGAGCCTTTTCTCCACCCATCACAGGTGCTGCTGCGGCTGCGGGGCCTGGATTATTACAGATTATTGAGTCATTGTTTAATAATATGATAAAAATAAGCATCGGTTTTCAAACAGAGGTTTGTGGACCCTTAAAGGTCCAAAGAAATACTGCAGGAGGGCCATGGAAATTTTGGTTGATGAGAAAAAAAACAAATATTTTCCCTCAGTTAGGTTGAAGCCCACCCTAGAGTAGACTCATCACATGACCCAGAGTCACGTCAGTCTCTGTGATTACCACCTTTTCTCTTTATCCTCTCTTTGTTCGTCAGTCTGAGGACCTCGGCGCCTGCGCCCAGTTCGAGGCCAGTCGAAATGCCAGGAACATGATGCCGAGCGCCAGCTGTGGCATCTTCCCAGAATTCACCCTGAGGAAGCCGTCCTCTGAGACTGACATCGAGAACTGGGCATCTAAGCACTTCAACAAACACACACAGGTACTGAAGACAGTCTGTGTGTGTGTCAACTGTAATATGTTTGTATGACATCATACACATCACCCTGCTCCTCAGACTGTCAGTGATGTCACCAGTTTTCTGTCTGGATCATGCATTAGTGGACCTAATCAATTCCAGCTCATATTTCATCTCTCTGATCATTTAATCCAACTGGAAAAAAACAAATCACACTCAACATTTACAAAAGTGGAAAACTGACCAAAGTCACGATTTTTCTAATTAGTTTAAACCTTTTGTATCAGACCTTTAAATCATCACATGACGTGATGACACTGGTTATGAATGTCTCACCAGCTGATTGGTTCAACCTGCCACACACAAACACACAGAGACCTTCTACCACTCAATTATACACTATTTGCCAATAAAAAAAAAATCATTTCACCATATACAACTAGAGGGAGCTGAAGTACCAACAGTGGTACATGTACCATAGTTTGAAAACCACTGCACTCGACAAAGAAACAAGAATGAAATCCGTGCAGACTGACGGAGCTCACACTTCAACTTCACGGGTCTGAGCAGTGATGTAGTTTCTCCTCCCCCTCCTCCTTCTCCTTCTTCTCTGTCCCTTCATGTTTCAGGGTCTGTTCAGAAGAAAAGTTTCCATCGCCAACATGCTGGCCTGGAGCAGCGAGCCAATCAAGAAGCCTATGATCATGACCTCAGACCGCGGGGTGAAGAAGGAGGCCGTGGAACTCTTTAAGCTCATCCAGACCTACATGGGCGACCGTCGCTCCAAGGCCGACCCTTTCTCTGTGGCTCTGGAGGTCAGACATCCCCCTAACACCCCCCCCCCACCTTCAACTCTGCTGAAGAAATGACACAAGACTTCAAGCAGAGCGTCCTTATTCACTGACTTGAAAAAAGAAAAAAAAGACTTAAAAAAGGGACAGACAGGATAGAGTGGGGGGGAAGACAGAGATAAAAGAGGGACAGACAGGATAGAGTGGGGGGGGTGGGGGGGGGGCAGACAGTTGTACAGTAACTACTGCTACTACTACAACTTCTACTGCTACCACTACAACTTCTACTACTACAACTTCTACTACTACTACTGCGGTGTTCCCAGTGTTTACACACACCGTTTCCTTTTTGCCCTCCGTCCATGTCAGGTGGTGGTGAGAGGGTGGAGTAACCAGGGTCTCCGTGACGAGCTCTACATACAGCTGTGTCGTCAGACCACCGAGAACTTCCGCTACGACAGTCTGGAGCGGGGCTGGGAGCTGATGGCCATCTGTCTGGCCTTCTTCCCTCCCACGCCGCGGTTCCACACGTACCTGGAGGGTTACATCTACCGACACATGGACCCCCTCAACGACACCAAGGGTGAGGAGGAAACACGCAGGAAATCTGTCTGTCAAGTTTTAGAATAACTTTAATATTATGAAAGGTTAGCTGGTGTGGAAGCAGCGATACCAGGAGTAGACCCTGGACCAGTGGACACGACCATGGACCAGTGGATACGACCATGGACCAGTGGATACGACCATGGGCTTTGGTGCTGAAATGTGTCAGCGTTAAAAGTGTTCAATAAAGATCAATAAACAGATTAATAAAATGTATCATTATGGTAAAATAATAATAATAATAATAATAACAACTTCTCCAGACCAGTGTATTTGTTGAAGTCAGAAGGTAAACTACCAGCAGGGACGTTCCACACTCCACACTTTATTTACCGGGGTCTATAACACGGGGCAGACCGTGATGAATGTTGATAGTCTGGAGACTATTGATCAGACACATTCTCAATCCCGTCTTTGGGGAAAGTCCAGGATGAAATTCCAGACCAGAACCATCTAGAACAGACACGCAGCAGTTACTGCTCTTTTATTGTGAACAGAAAATCGATGAGCTGCAGACCCGGAGCTGCTGCAGTGTCGGCCGCTGCAGGAGGAGACACATGTGAGAGATACAAGTCCTTCTGTCAAGGTGGGACCGGTTCCGATAGTGAACCGGCTCTCTGCTGCCCTCCACAGGTAGACTGGGAGAACAGCGAGGATGCTCTACTCCCACTGGAGGCTAATGTAGGCCACAGGTTTTTAGGCTGTTCATGATGGATAATGAGGAGTGCACCGTGTGGGCAGGAGACACGTTAAAGGTCTTCATTGGCTTAGAGGATGTCACGTGATTACCATTTAAATAATGACTAATGACAAAAAATAATATCAAGTGAAAATATAATAATAACAATTTTAATCTTATATTATTTTAAAACCACATTTAGTAGCATGTCAATGATACCCTGGGGGAAATTATTGGTATTACAGCTGCTCCTACAAGGGCAGTTAAAAAAACAAGAGGAATACAATATACTAAATATAATGGAAATACTGTATGTAACAAGTAGAATTTTTTAATGTGTGCTGGATGAAATTAAATATTTCAAATTGGAGAATTAGAATTTTACAAAATAATATTTAACATTTTATATTAAACAGACATCAAAGCCCTTAAATGAAGTTCATGTGGATTATTCCGTAATCTGTGACTTTACATTAGCGTGAGCTCACCAGAGATTAGCTGGGACGTGGTCTGTGAAGGTTCATGGATCTTCTGCTCTGTTTTCTCTGCAGGAGTGGCCATCAGCAGCTACGCTAAATACTGTCACCGAAAACTGACCAAAGCTGCTCTGACTGGAGCCAAGAAGGTGAGAAAATCTATGTCCACATTATTTTTCGCAAATATTATTACAATTGTGTGTCAGCTCCTACACCACGTAAATAAAAATGAAAAACAGAATGTCGTGCTGTAGACCAGGTCAAAGACTCAGCTGTGTCTTTAGTTTGTGCCGCACAGGTCGTGTTGTGTTCAAGGACTATGGTTTAAGACACTTTTTACCAAGCAACGAGCAAAGAAACAAACAAACATGAAGAGAAATACAACAACGACAACAACGACGATGCTCAAGGCCCCAGGAAGTAGTTCATAGAAAATAAAACAAACTGTCGCAGATCAGAACCAGAACTTTACTGCTGACATTAGAACCTGAAGTGATCCAGAACACGTTCAGATGCTTTGTGATTTCACAGAGATCTCAGTGTCTTTACTGCCACGTTGAAAATTCATCATTCTTATTTGTTGACGAGGTTCAAACTCAACAATTTAAACCTAATAAGTTTCTTTAAGAAAAAGAAAAGCGAGGCTCACACCACACACCACACACCACACACCACAGCTTTGACCTACTTCAGTCAACAACAACAACAGTCCACATGTTTTCCCACCTCAGCCACTTGTTCATCACAAAATTAACCAAAATAAAACAACTTCTTGTCACAAATCAACCGCCAGTTGTAGAAACATTTCAATTCAAACTCCACACAAACAACACCAACAACTGCCAAACAATTCTCAGACTCTCACAGAAATTCAGCTCAAAGTTCAGCAACTTTCCACAGTTCTTCAAATAATGCTAACAAACATGTAAAAAACCGCAGGACTCACCCTCAGGACTGGGGCTTCAGCAGGTTGGAGGTGTCAGTGAATGGAGGCTGCTCTGGAGGACAGCACTACCTGATGCCATGCTTCTCCTCACTCCCAACTACTTCCTGTTCACAACACCATGTGACCCTTAAAGGGGCCACGTCCAAATAAAAACACACCAGAACTGGGTCTCTGCCTCAGATTAAAACCTTTCCTACAAATGAGAAAATACATATCAGGAGATTAAATGAGTATTGAAAAAATAAACAAATAAAAAACATATATTATAGTTATATAAAATAATTTTTTTTTAAATACTTGAATCCAGATTTACAGTCATATACACACATACAAATATATATATACATATATATATATATATATATATAAAATTATTATTATTACTATGTTTGTTTCTGTGTGGTTGTGTCAGCCTTGTGATCACTCTTTTTTAATTGGTACTGCCCTGAACCAGTGCTGCTGCATCTGAGCGCTGCCTGGTGAAAACACCTGGAACTACAAGAGTTCATGTGTTTGACACTGCAGCAGATAAATACCAAAGGTTTAAATGTCTGGTTGGCAGGCAGCAGATTGGCACGGAGCCGCGTTCCACCGTCCTGCCAGACTGACAGCAGGTCACCAACTGAGATCATTTGTCATTTTAAGGAGCCTGTGGTTCAACTGGTGCTAATGAGCTGCTCGACCCGTGTGTGATCTTCACACCAAGGTCTCACACACTTCACGTTCTCAGACTGCCCTTCATCCACCCTCCTGTGTGTGTGTGTTTACGTCCTCAGGGTCTGCAGAAACCCTGCCTGGAGGAGATCCAATACGCCAAGAACGCCATCTTCAGTCTGTCCATGTTCGGCTCCTCCCTGGAGGAGGTGATGGCGCTGCAGAAGGAGCGGTATCCAGACCATCAGCTGCCCTGGGTGCAGACCCGTCTCTCTGAGGAGGTCCTGGGTCTCAATGGAGACCAGACAGAAGGTATTTTCAGGTGAGTGACAGTGAGGACCAAAACTGGCTGCAGAGTGAACAATGATTCTGCCGAGTCATGGAAAACCTGGATGTTACTGTAGCAACGCTGGTGTTCTAAATATAGACCACACTCCTGAATGTTATTGGTTAAAGGTTGGTCATACATTTTTCCCCTGATGACGATTCACCCCGGAAAGTACTGTAATAAATGATATAACAGTACTTTAGTGACCAGACGTCATGTACACTAGTACAGTACACCACACACTATATCCTGATATGTATCACACCGCCAGATTCTTGCCAATACACACCCCTAGTGAGTACATCATATGACCTTTGACCCACAGAGTGCCAGGTGACATAGATGAGGTGAATGCCCTGAAGTTGCAGGTGGACCAGTGGAAAATCCCCACAGGACTAGAAGACCCCCACATCCCAGGTAGAACACAAAGCTTCCTGTCTCTGAAGCCACATGTTTTGAAAACACTGTGGTTAAGGATTCACTCTCACTCCCACCTTCCCTCCTCCCCCTCCCAGCCTCCCTGCTGAAGCTGTGGTACAGGGAGCTGGAGGAGCCACTCATCCCTCATGAGTTTTATGACGAGTGCATCAACCACTACGACAACCCGGAGGCTGCCGTCAACGTGGTGCTGGGTCTGCCCCACATCAACAAACTGGTGCTCTGCTACCTCATCCGCTTCCTACAGGTACCAGTTTGATCAGAAAGCTAACGAGACATCACCAGTCTCACTGCACCCTGAAGCTGAGATTGTACTCAATGCTAAGAACCAATAGGAGGACTTACATTTTAATTTGCTACATTTTTGGAAACATTTCAGTTGCGTTCCCCATTAATTGAAATGAAGCAGTACCACTGGAAATCATGGGGGCGGTGTTTTCCCAAGTGGAGCGGCTATCTCTAGAGTAGCATGGTGGAACTAGGGAGAATTGCCAAAAACTCAACACTGCCCTTTAGTGGTTGTATTACAGAACAGCGGTCCCCAGCCTTTTCTGTATGAAGGACTTGTTGGCCGGAATCAGCCTTTGCTGCGGACCGGTAATACCGCAACGACGTTGAAGGATCATTACATTTTCGACTTTTCGACTTTATTCTCTTAGTAATGACCAGCATTGGTAGATTATCTTTTAATGAAAAACGGTAAAGAGATATGACTGGATTCTTTTTGAATGAAGCAAATTAGTAAAACTTAAGAACATTTTTTCTCCGTGTCCCACTGTGGCCCAGTACCAAATGACCTACGGACCAAATCGGGGTTGGGGACTGTTATAGAGTATATAGTGTGAGAGCTTTGAAACAATCATACTTATTTTTGCAGGTAATGTGGGCAGAAGTTAGGCTAAAGACGACGGCTAGGTGTCCTGGTTAAAAACAACATTTTTTTCTCCTGTGATATTTGCAGGTATTTGGTCAACCTGCCAACGTGACCATCACCAAGATGGACGTCAACAACCTGGCCATGGTGATGGCTCCAAACTGCCTGCGCTGCCAGTCCGACGACCCCAGGGTCATCTTTGAGAACACACGCAAGGAGATGTCCTTCATCCGGGTGCTGATCCAGCGGCTGGACACCAGCTTCATGGATGGTATCCTATAGCCCCGCTCCCAACTGCACACACTCACATTGACCCCTGGCCTCTTCTACACGCCCTTTAACCTCCTCCATGACAGGCCTGTACACACTGCTCATCACGGGAACATCACACACACACACACACACATGCTGCTGCTGCTGGGTGAAAATACCTCGCATCACCGACGTGGCGTTCGACTTCCTGGATCAACAAAGACCAGAGATCACTCAGTCCACCCAAGGTTTTCAACCGAAACACTTTTCTTTTCTTTTTATATTTAGCTCTCGGTGTCGTCTTCAACTGACATTGACATCAGGACAAAAAAAAGGAACAAACACCAGTGTGGGACTTGAGAAGTTTCCATGTGGTGCTGTGTGTGCCTTCACATCCACTGGGTGGCGTATGAAGGACTCAGCAGGGATCGTCTGCCCATCACCTGTTGGTTTCACCTCGTTCTTTTTCTTCTAATTCCACCTGTTTCTTCTTGGAGCTGCTGCACATCTCACCCTGGAACTCCACCCTCTGCAGTGGACGACAGTGTCACACTTCACACAGAGGCCACATCCACACTACTCTGTTTAAAAACAAAACCCCCAAAAGTAAACACACTCCATGTTTTCTACTTCCACTTATTCATGTCAGACACACTTCTCCAATTCCCCAGTCCACCACAGGGGGCACATATAGCAACAACCAACCATTCCCACCTGTGGTCAATTAGAGGGAACAGTTATCCTAGTATTTCATGTTTGTGGACAGTACGAGGACAGAGTAAAGGGTGTTTTTGACCTGAACTACTTTTGTCTGGTTTTCTAGTCTAACGTTACAAAACTGGCCAGTTTATATTTTAGATTTCTGATAACACTTTGGTATAAATAGCAATTATAATAATCAGATTGAACTCTAAAACTAAGTACAAGCTACAAGGGTTTGTCCAGGTAAGCCAAAGTCTGCCCCCATCTGGACATGACATGTTGGTGAGGGGAACAGACACCACTGACCTCAGACTCAGTCAGTCAAACATGTTTTAGTTTTTTGTTGAGTTGAATAATTAGCCAGTTGAAATCAATGGCCAGCCAATAGAAAAGAGAGAAGGTGGAAACAGGAAATAGAACGGAGAATGTGATGGTGACATCATCACAGGACTAGTGTGGATGTAGCCTCACACGCCACTGCTCAACACTTCCAGATCATTCTAATCCAGTTTCTTCCTCTTCCTCTTCTCTCAATGTAACTGACCCTCATTACCTTCTCAGTCAGTACATTCAAAATAACATTTGTTAAAACAACTAACTAGTCCCTCATCCGAACCTCTGATGTCACACAAGGATTTGACGCTGATGTTGCTATGGAAACCACTTACACATTTAGCTTAGCATAAATCACAGATATTGGTGACAGTTTTGACCAAAAAAAAATCACATTTTTAAGTCTTGAACAGTTGAGTTTAAATATGTCAGCAGCATCAGAATCAAAGACAGTCATGTGACACCTTACAGCCAATCGGAAGCTGTGACACAGCACTGAGGTAATGGTTCTGTTCATACAGTAATGGACCAGAACTTGCCGGGTCCAGTTTCTATATCAGGTCCATGAGGTTATGGCCACAGCTGCCAGCTCCCCCGTACAGCCCCCTCCCCAACAGGCCTTTCTGCTCACTGATGCTTCATGAATGTGTCCACCCGTCTTTGTCTGTCTTCCTGTCCTCCTGTCCTCATACACACACACACACATCTTTTAACATTTGTGTCATATTTAACATTTTCTATGTTTTTAACACATTATTTTATTTATTTATATTTATTTGACCTCACCCAGATACAATGTTTGCAGCCACAGTGTGTTTACAACACACAAGCAGATGTGTGTCTGTGTGTGTGAGACAGTGGACCATGAAGCACCTGTGTATATTGTACGTTTGTTGCTGTACATTTTTAAGTATTAGATTTTGTTTTTGTAAAAAACAACTGAAGAAATGATTGTGAAGCTTTCACACAGACACACACACACACACACACACACACAGGCTTCCATCTTCAAGATCCATGTGTGAATAGAGTTGAATTAATAGACCATTGAACTTCAAAGGGATAGATTTTTTTTGGGGGGGGGTACTTAGGTTGTACAAGGTACTTGTACACGGTCAGTGTGTACTATACAGGTGTGGTCACTACTTAAACAGTAGCTGTGAGATAATAACGATCATAACGTCATGGTTTAAACGTCACTGTGTAATGAAGCGACCACCAGGGGTCGTTAGAGACCGACGTTAACGCAGCTCATGGGCCTCCTGTAATCCGACCGTTCTGATTGGTTCACCTCCCTGTGAGGAGCCTGTGATGTTGGTGTGTGTGATACACCCCCCACTCAGACGTCACGTGTGTAAATGACTCTGTACAGTCCATGTATAAATAAGTACAAACAGACTGAAGTGAGAGGAGCAGCATCAGGTGACTGTGACAGAGGCTCGTTCACTCTTTTTTTAAAAGTCTCGTTTATGTGTAAATTTGATTCACACTGAGCGCGGTGTGAACAGTGTGTGAACTGAATGTGTTCTTAAGTTGTGATATATGTAACTTGTTAAAAAGAAAACAGAGGATGTTTGTATGTGTGTCATTGTTAAAAAAAAAAAAGGTCCTGCTACTTTGTCACTTTACCTGCTTCCTTACACATTTGTGGCCAATCACTGCCTGAAGGAAGCTGCAGCCCCGCCCATTTAGGGAAGGAGGAGGGGCAACAAGTATAAACCGCCTCGACACTTTTACGGAATCTGCTCAGTTTGAATATAAAGGCGCGGAGGCAGAGAGAGAGAGAGACTGTTGTGTTAGTGTTTACAGGTTGAATCAGTGACGACAGCAGGAGCGCCCTCTCCTGGTTAAGAAAGTTCCAGGTAAAGCTGTCACTTTTTACCAAAACTGTGCTGCAGGTGGAGCTGCACTTAAAAGTTCAGATTTCCTTCTAAGTTGCGCAGGCACAGAGGCATTAATGGTCAGCGAGCAGTGTTAAGGTTCTCCATTTGTGTTTGCAAAACTTTGGGGGTGAGGAGGGGATCAGTCGAGCAGATTTTACATATT